ATTAAACAGTCGTCGGCATTGGATATCGATATTAATTATAGCACTCAAAGTCACGGTTTAGAATTGTAATCTCTTAACTTGATTGTCGAGAAACTTATTAACGACAATGTTTTAAATTTCTAGTTTTTCTTACAAGACTGCCACAATAGGCAAATGCGCGCTGCCTTCTTTTATTGAGCAGAAAATATATAGAAATTGCTCGAGTCTTTAAATGTTGGGTTGATGTAATAGAAATCGAAGATAATAAACTGTTAAACAAGTTGTTCTTCAGATAAATACTAGTCCTAGTCATCACCCATTAAAGTTTCAAATCAAGTTAAACGCCGATTTTCTCAAAACGAAATGTGAATCGTTGATCCGGCACAACATTGACGGGTTGCCATACGATGAGCGGCTTGCCATCATCTGGAGATCGATCCTGTGCAATAGTAAACACAGCTAGGATTAGATCTTTATAATCTTGAAATCAAAAGTCATTTCAGTGATATTATAAAATCATACCGCAATGGTAAGGATAAGGTTTGGATTATCGGCCAAGTTGATATTATTTGTCATCTCATTGTAATTCCACAACCTAGCAACCTCCTTGGGAACTGTAACTACAAATGACCCTTTAGGTAAAAAATACGAGGGGTTTAGAAAAATAATAAATTCTGAATCCAATCATTTACGTAGTATATAAAGCTTACCATTTGCATCGGCTGAATTGAGAGAAAGTATGTAAAAGTATGTTAGATTTGAAAATAAGTTTAATTCAGCACTCAATTCAAATTACATACAGCCTTGGATAGCAAGACATAGATTTGCCTTCTTGTTTTTGATGTATCCTCCGTTAAGGGTATTGATGTCATTTCCTTCAACAGTTTCGAAATACCAGAGTTGGCTATCAGGCTAAAATAAAAATGAGTATTCGAAACAATTTGAGACATGAAATATACCCGAACATCATTTGAACGCATTACACACGTCGTTATCGTTATCAGGTTCTTGGACAACTTGAGTATTGGCAGCAATGTTGCCATCCTTAAGGCTAAGGGCTTTTCCAGAAATTTGTGGTACAATACGGAATAATGGGCCGCCCATTTTTTTGTTGAATGGAAAAGATTTACGAACGGGGTTTTTTGTTTGTATTCTGTCGCAAACGCAGAGAACGTTGTGGGGGATTTTTTTCAACTGAGGAAACCTTCTTAAATAATATTGTCTCGTTACACATTTTGGATCGGATGACAGTCTATTCGATGTATTACGAGCCATAGTAATTTCTTTCTTGAGATAGTATTTGAACGATGTATTACGCAGTCAGTAATTTTTTTCTCGAGATAATATTTGAACGATGTATTACGAGCCATAGTAATTTCTTTCTTGAGATAAGGTTTGACGATGTATTACGCAGCCATAATAATTTCTTTCTTGAGATAATGTTTGAACGATGTATTACGAGCCATAGTAATTTCTTTCTTGAGATAATATTTAAACGATGTATTACGTAGCCATAGTAATTAAGGTTTCCTGCTCTACTAAATATTGGTGTGGCGAGGCTGTTGGTTGAAAACAGATCTTGTGCCATAACTTTGTTCAGCGTCCTGATCGCAGCATCAACTTCAGACAAGATTTTCTCTTTATCTTCCAATGACTTGAATTTATCGTCAATTGAATTTATTAGAACAAAAAAAGTGCAATTTTGCATTTGAATAAGACGAAATAATATTTCAATTTGAAGATAAACTTGTGTCCTTTCGTCTTCGCTTTTTACATTCTTATAAAACTTGTATGCCATTTTCGATCGCCCATCTGTTTATTTTGGATAGGCTATTGCCATAACAAATCGTTGCCGACGATCAAACTTGTCGATCTGCTCCTTATTTTGGATAGGCTATTGCCATAACAAATCGTTGCCGACGATTAAACTTGTCGATCTGCTCGCCCATCTGCTTATTTGGATAGGCTATTGCCGTAACAAATTGTTGCCAAGACGATCAAACTTGTCGATCTGCTCCTTATTTTGGATAGGCTATTGCCATAACAAATCGTTGCCGACGATCAAACTTGTCGATCTGCTCGACCATCTGCTTATTTTGGATCGGCTATTGCCATAACAAATCGTTGCCGACGATCAGTTTGTGTGTCCAAACCTTCTCCAATAAGTTTTGAGCAAACCAAACGTGCTTTTGGTAAACCTGCAGGGGTCTGTGCTATAGCAACGATGTAAGAAAATCGTACCACGTCAGAATAAGTGTCGAGGCAATAGTCACGGGAGAGCGGATAACTACTGTCTCGGTTTGGGGTCTAGCTGCGCCGTCGTAGGAGTGTGGCTAAATCGTAACAAACAGTTAGTGACCTTTAATTAGGCTTTTCAATGCTAACGTATTCCTATACGTGTCACACACACTAATCCTAGATAGTTAACTATTCTCGAGAACAAAACTACTCTCTACCGGTGGATTAATTCGGTAGTCTGTAGGTTGGGGTCTTAATAAGAAAATAATGCGCGCTGCGAAATAATAATTAATTATCTT